GTCCTCGGATTTCTTCTCTGTCCTAGTGTTGTTCTGCTGCTGTGATAAAACACTGACCTAACACAACTTCAGAGGAGGAAAGAGTTTACTGAGAGCCGCCAAGGCAGTCATTCCAGGCAGTAACCTGGAGAAGGCACTAGAACAGAGACAACAATGGGGTGCTCTTTCCTGACTTGTTCTTCATGGCTTGCTCAGACTGGTGTGTTACATGACCCAGGACCACCTTCCCCAGGAGTCATTGACTGTGTCTATAGCTTGTGTTGAACTGACACAAACTAACCAGCTAACCCTCTTTAGTGTTTTTTTTTAAGATACTGTGAATTCACCAATGAACATATACATGTACATGTGTGTACAGATACAAGTTTTGCTTTGATTCAAAATTAACTTTTTGTCATTTGTTATCAACAGATCATACTTGGTAAAAGAACTAAAAATTATTTTTATTGTATTTTAAGTTAAATACCAATGATACAAATTCATCTTGGCACGTCTCATCATACAAACCATAGTGCAGACACAAACAAAAAACATAGGAAGCGAAAAAAGAGCATTGATGCAAAAATAGCATCCATATTAGTTCATAATTGACTGAATTCTTAGAGCAACAGATGTTCTGGCTAATTTAATTTTCTTATAAATTGACAAATAAGACAAGAAGCTCCCAACACTTAAGGAAAATCTTTATGAACCGTCTTACTTCACTTTGTTGTATCAGAAACCAAAGAGCACGCTGCAGTGTTTTGTTGGTGACTCCAGGTTTCTCTCTATCCTACATCATTCTGACTAATACTGAACACAGTGACAACAGTTTTCTATTTTAAATTGCCTCTTGTTGAATTGCTAGTGGTTCCTAAAAAATCATTAATGTGATGGTTAATCTTGATTATCAACCTGACAGGATTTATAATTACCTCTGGGTTTTGAGCCTGTTACCAGGGAGCATTAACTGAAGAAGGAGATCATACTTGGAGCGTGCGTGCATTAATCTCCTGGACGGCTACCTGAACTGAATAAAACTGGGAAGTGGAGCTGATACCAGCATTCGCTTCTCTCTACTTCCTGACTGTACATGCGACATGACCAGATGCCACAGTGAGAGATACTCTTCTTAGCATGCTTTCTCTGCCATGATGAACTATATCCTTTTATAATGGCCAGAATACACCCTTCATTAAATTACATTTGTGGGCATTTTATTTCAGCAACAACAGCAGTGATTAATACAGAAAATTGGTACTGGGAACGGGTTGTTACTTTAATAAAGTCCTAATAAACGCAGCATAGGCCTTTGATAAAGGTTGCAGCTATGAGCTAGAGAAGTTTGAGAATTCCCTAAGAAAGGCTTAATGGACCAGTCTGCTGCGAGTTTGGAAGATCAGAACGCTAAGAGAGATGGTAACAGTGGACGCCTGGCTCATTCACGAAGTTCAGAATCGAGCAAGGATTCTATTAGGAGCTCTGTTAGTATTACACTCTGGCAAATAATCTGTCTTCATCATTTTCATATTCTGAAGACAAGATCGAAACTTACCTCAAAAGCGAAGGATGGATTTGTTTGGCTGAGGAAATTTCAAGACAAAATAGCACTTGGGCTATGTCATGGTTATGTCTTAGTGCTCCTGTCCATGTCAAGGTGAGAGGGAGCAACCAGTGAAACAGAAATTCATGAATGAGAAAATGGATGTATGACTTTGAAGTTGTAGTTAAAAAGGCTGTAGAGAATGAAGCTATAGTTGTTAGAACAATTAGCACAGTTAAGGAGAAACCTGCTTTAAACTGAGACAAGACGCTGCTCACGAAAGGCTGCAGCTCATAAAAACACAAATTCCTTTGGCAGGAGAGAAACTGAACAGAGAATACAGCTTAGTGGTTCTTTGCTCAGAAGCCACCACAATGGGTAGGGTAGTGCTTTTCCAGGTTGCCCCAGTTAGGTGCAAAGAGGCTATGGTGAAAGGGAGACAGGCATCTCCAGGTGGCTACAGACCTCGGCACTGGCGTGCATGCTGTACTGGCTGCGGAAGTACACAAAGCACAAGAGCAAGGGGGCCCTGGAGGAAGAAAGCCACTGAGGACTTTGTTTGGTGTCCTTTCCTGTCTCTCCTTCTTCCCTCCAAACCCTCCCAGACACCCCAAATTTCAAGTTGGAGCTATTTACATATATCCTCTTTTTCTTTGATCATTTTTGTTTTCTACATATATATGTATGTAACATGCACAAATATATAAAATATAATTTGCTAAGTCTGTTTTTGTGGCCTGTGTATATATGGATTCAGGGCTGAGCCCTCTGCATTAGATTCCCAATAAGGGGGTGTATTCCTGGGAGAGGCCGATAAGGTCAACTCTACTGTATCCTCATGCTCACCCGTGTGCTGCCGTGTTCCCAGCCATGATGATAATCGACTAAGCCTCTGAAAGTGTAAGCCTGTTCCAATACGTTTTTTTTTTTTAAATAAGAGTTGCTATGGTCATGGTGTCTCCATGGCAACAGGACACTAACTACGACCCTGACCTAGAAACTGCAGCAATTCTTCTGCCTCAGCCTCCCAAACGCTGGGAACGTGAGTGTGTACCATCACACTGTCTTTTGGTTTATTTATTGTCTGTCTCTAAAATATATTTATCTATTTATTTGGTACTTTGTCAGGTATGTTAGGTCTTCCATAGATGTGTGTGTGTGTTCTTTCAATATATCTTATGTCTACGCAAGAATCACAAGCATTGAAGTAGAAATATCAAATGCAAAATAAATAAGGTCTACACAGCCTCAAATTCTTCTACTATGAATATAGGAAACATTAAGTTGGCTGGGGACGGTCCTTTTAGCTTAATTGGTTTTAAAGACTAGAGTAAGGCTACTTTGTAGTAGTTACTGAACACTGTAGCATGGCCAGTGCCAGTTCATACAGCAGTAAATGCTTACACAAAAAGGAACTTAACCAAGCCCAGCTCATAAGGATACCTAGTTAGAAATTCCAGTGGCAGAGACTTATCATTTGCTGTTCTTTGCATATGGAGCAGGGTGTTTTCTCCTGGATGTGTGACAAGATAAAAAGGTGCAGAGTTCCAGCAGTCAGAATAGCTACCTCAAACATCTGCAGCTATCCATATGCGATACATACAGCTGTGTTTATTCCAAAGATAACACATTCGCATGCACACAATACATTTACTTAAGTGTATATTTTATGCATGTGAGGAATTCAAACAAAGGCTTTTTTTGTATTTTAATATGCATTTGAAAAGTGACTGAAAGTCTCCACAGTTATTTAAAGATGCTGATATTCTACAGCATATTTTTCAATACACAATCATAACTCTTTCAGGCTAAAATTCATTGCAAAATTAAAGAAACTTAAACGGTGGGGTCACACACATCAAGAAAATTTTGGGGATAGTTCAATCTTTCAGAAGACTGAAAATCCAGCATTATAAAATTATCTTTTGTAATTGGAATTTGTTTTTTTTTTCTTATTCCAACAATTTTGTCACAACATGGTGGGCATTTTATTTGAAAAAGGAAGCTGTACCTGAGGTGTTTAGTTTCCTTTCTACTTTCACGTCTGACAAGATACACATTTCTTGTTTTTGATTTAATAAATGATAAATAGAAGGCTTCATCATTTTAAGCCCCTCCCTGGTAAGAATAGTTACACCAGCCTGGCTAAGAACATTAATATAATCTCTTTTAATTGTACCGTTGCTTAGGTTTACAGAAACTGGATACCAGAAAACAATCTAGAAGTACAGAAAATAAAAACACCTTTAAGTTTCATTCCTCAATGTGGTATCAGGAGAAATTTCAGAGAAATCTGTATGTGTTTACATCCTTTCTGTACGCTATTTTGCCTTTTCCTAAAGATGTGATGGGTTAGCCAAAGGACAGCAAACTTTAGTAACAAATATAATGGAAGGGATTTTATTTATTCGTTGTTATTATTACATATTTTTCTTTTTAAATTAAAAATATATTATCCTCTCAAACAATACTTTCAAACGAGCTTCCCCCATTCCCTCTTCCCTAGATGCCCTACCCCTTCATTAGCTCTTCAGAAAAGCATAGGCCAAACAGAACAAAACAAAATACAGTAAGACAAGACAAAAGCTCTCATCGAGGCTGGACAAGACAACCCAACAGGAGGAAAAGAGTCTCAAGAGCAGGGAAAGAGTCAGGTGTGCTGGCTTCCACTGATGAGTCTCACAGTAGACCAAGCTAGCAGCCATAACGTATAAGCAGAGGACCTGGTGCAAACCTATCCTGCTTCAGTCTCTGGGAGCCCATGTGAGTCCTACTTAGTTGATTTGGTGGGTCATGTTATCCCGGTGTCCTCTACCCACCCCCCCTTCCTACAGTTTAGATTTTAATCAGTTTACATCAGTATAAATAAAGAGCATCACTGCTGACCCGTAGATTTGTGATGAAATAAACGTAACCGCTTCTAGTCTGTACCATACACTGTAGATAATAATATCTCTCAGGATCGCAAAAACAGCATAATTTAGAAAGCAGTCAGTTGTCGTATACATTCTAAAAGGTAAATACCTCAATATTGTTTGTTCCTATTCTACAGATGTGAAAACTGAGTTCCTGGAACACGCCCACAATCATAGTCATTGGTCATGTTTCAACAACTACTTTTCCTAAATTGATTGTCCTGTTAATAGCTAAAAATTAAAATAAGAATTTTCCATCAGCACACCCCCAGCCTCTTGACTCTCAGGCACACCTTCTCACTGTTGGAAAGTTTCCTAAGAATATCCCCTGACTAGATTTGGGTGTGCTTGCGTGTAAAAGGCTGGCCACTCACTAAAATAACTTTTGGTTTCGTTTTATGTTGGTTAACTCGTCCATCCTCAGCAGTCTCAAAGCTTTCTTGCTTGGAAAATAGATGGGCCTAAGGGCTCCCGCAGGCTGGCGCAGGGAAGGCCCAGCCAATCAGAGCGCAGGCTGAGCGCCGGCCCCGCCCCTCCTGCTGCGCTGCTCCTCGTCCCGCCCCCGCCTCTGAGTGACAGCAGCGTGGACTGCTGCCCGCCCGGCTGGACCCGCGGTTGGGCCGCCCCGGCTGTGCTACGCTGAGGTGTGTTTCGGCGAGGGCTGGGGGTTCGGGGTCACAGTGCGCAGGACGCGGGCCCGGGGCGGTCCCCGGCTCAGGGCCTGGGCATCGGGGGGGCTCCTCCAGGAAGGCTGGGCTCCCAGCCCTGCAGGGCGGCCTCCTCCTCCAGGGGTCTCACAGCCTCTGGCGCCCAGAGAGGACGGCTGGGCTGGGGCGGGTGGGCGTGGCCGCCTCGGTTGCCGAGCAACGCGGGGGTGCGTCCTGCCAGCGTGTCCCGGAGCTCCTGGTCCTGAAACTGTCAGTCCCACCCACTCCTCCCCCTCGGACTTACTCTAGGCTGGGGATTTGCTCCTGGTGCTGTCCATTAACTTTTGGAGCCTTTTCTTTGCTGCGTGTAACTCTGGTTTTTACAAACCCTGCTCGCCTAGGACTCCCTAGTCTGTGTTTTCACTCCTATGTACTCTTTCCTCTTTCCCTTTTATAGGAACAGAACAATCTCTGAAACCAAAACGTTTGTAGAGAAGAGTTGTTTTTTTGGTTAATGGTGGTGATGAAATGAGGTTACTTTTACTGTTGCTTCGTGAATCCCTGAACCTAAACGAGGTTGCTGTCTAGTGGATGACTGGGAAAGGGGGTTCTGGGGTATAGCGTCTTCCACTTGACCTTAACGAACTTCTTCTGCAAGTTGCAACTCATTACAAGAAGGGCTTTCGCCTCTGATCTTCCTTGCAGTCTACCATGAAGCATATTAAACCTCTAAGCACCTACTATTGGATCCATATTTCATGTAACTACAAGATAGCAACACCGATAACTCCTGCAGGTCTCTCTTCCCCTTATCTTTTGACCCCTCGTGATTCAGCAGAACAAACATCCTGTAGGAAAACACAGAGGAGAAGGAAGTTGGCCTTTCCGGTTCTGTACCAGGTTTCCAGAGTAAATCTCTTCAGGAAGGGAGTATTGCTTGTTCTGCTGTTTTTACCCTGCCAGTAAGGCAAGATTAGTTTTCCTTAGGTGAGAATCCTCAGCCATTTTTCCCTCTGTAGAGAGCTCAATCTAGTATCTACCCTAGCAGGATTAACTGATTTAAAAATATAATTAAAATGGTGATCTGTAAAAAAATGCAAGGTGTTACTAATTACATTTTCCATTCCTTTAGCTTACTGTACTTAAAAATGCTCTTGACTTTCCTCTTATTTCTTTGGTTAGTTGAGAAATGAACATTAAGCCGATTACTCTCTCCTCTACTGGTTCAGTGTTGTTACTGCTTAGGTAGCGCCTGAAGTGTCCTGCTTGGCAGTTTCTCTGCCCTTAGCAGCCTTGGTTCCCCACCTCTCAAGGATACACAGAGAAGTGGGGGTGTGGTCATGTGGGGGCTCTTGGAAAGATTAGGAAATGTTAATATTAAATCTAATCATTTCCAAACTCTGATGTCACCATTTTGACCATGGAAAGCTGTGAGTAATCCTTTAGCTTTCTTAGCAGAATGTAAAGATTACATGGGAACTGTATTGACACCAACCTGTTTTGGTTTGTTTGTTTGTTTGTTAGATTTAGGGACAAGATATTTCCTTTCTACCATGTCTGACCAAAGACAACTTGGAGCAGAGATTTTTAAAAATCATTCTTCCAAAGAGCCTCTTAGCCCATCTACCTGTCCAAATAGGGTCATTATAGTCTGTCTCTTTTTAAATAGTAATCAACAAACAGAAACAGCCAATGTTGAATAAATGTGTTGCTGTGTTAAAGAGTAAGCTGTATTTCATCCCAGATCTCATTGGTCTTGCCAATGACAGCATATTCAGATATTTAAACAAGTGAAGAAAATTTAGTGTTATATGGCAATACTAAATTGTATTTTGAGATAAATATAAAATGTGTAAAATTCCTCTGCACCAGGGTTCATTTGGACAAGGAGATTGAATATGCTTAGGTCATGCCACTGTAGAATCATTGCCTGATTCTTACTTATAACCCGAGTGAAAGGTCTGTTGTGTTTTAATTTTCATAGGCCAACACATATATCACGGCTGTCTTTACTGGTAGCTGTTTTCCTGACTTTATTTTCAAATAGAAGACTTTAGATTTTGATATTTTCTTTGCTCATATCACTCACAAAAATGGGCACCAGTTGTAGGCACGGTTGGAGAAAGCGTCAGAGTAAGAAGTTCCTATTTCTTTTGTGGTAAGTGTTGAGTGTACAAAAGAACTTGGTATTTCTTAGAACTGATCTTATGAACCCTACCTTTCTTTACTGGACTCTCAATTTTAGCAGAGAAACTGAATCCAAGAAAGATACACTAGATAGAGCATTAAGGCTTAAACATTTTAAGACTTAGTAATAGATTGCTGCTTTTTGCCTTGAGTTTGTACTCTATGAAAATCGTTGCTACAAGCTGACTGGGTTAGTGCTTTTGAGGGGATAGCAAAAATGGCTAGTAGTTCCTCCTAGCCTCCCTAAGCCTTTATTCCTTTCCCAAAGACAAGACTTAATCACTGAAAAACATATTGAGTTTTCAGAATAAGTATGCATACTCAGACTTACCATTTTGCATCACCCACGTTAGCTCTATCATCGAAGTGATGTCGCCTGGTGGATTCCAGTCACTGATTAGACATTGCTGTAGTAGTTACCTTGTTCCTGAAAAAATCCCTGACTACAGCAAATAAAGGACGGGAGGGTTTATTCTGGATTAGTGTACCAGAGCTAGTGAATGATGGGAAAGACGTGGAGGCGGGGGCATGGGGCTGCTGGGTAATATTGCATCAACAGAAGTAAACAATAAAAGATTGTGCTAACTGACTTCTTTTTATGCAATCCAAGACTCAGCCAAGGGAATGGTGCTGCCCACTTTGAGACTGGGTCTTCCCAGCTTTACCTAGTGACAATGATCTCATAGACACGCCCAAAGGATCGTCTCCTAGAAGATTCTGGGTCCTATCAATTTGATAGTTGATATTAGCTATCTGTCACATTCCCTTATTTAACTGAGTGGAATCCGAGGTCAGCATCGTTAACCTACTGCTCTGGTTTCTTATAATGAGTGACATTTCTTGGTCATTGGAAGTATGTAATCGCATTTTACATCATTATAATGTATTTAAGGAAGCTATTCTTGACTTTCGAGACTCTGACCCTGGGTAACAGTTGAGGAATAATATTCTTTACTTACTGCGGTGCTAAGTGATCCATCTCAAAGCATCCCCCTGGGAATGTTTCTCCTTGTCAAAGCATGAAGTGAGGCAGCGTTTCTACAGACTTGGTGCATATATCCTTGTTCTGATTTCAATAACTTTGGCTCTATGAAGGTTTTAAACGTACTTTTTAAGAATATAGTATTTTTGTATTCTCTCAGAACAGCCAAAATAATGCTAATAGAAAATAGTGATACATATTTACTCACATTTGATTTCCTCAGGAAATTTCTTAATTAAACAATAGGAATCATTTAGTCCAGGAGATAATTCTTTTTCAGACCTCTGAAATATACTTAATCTTTTTTTATGATAGAAATGCCAAGTGTCTAATTTGTGTGTGTATTGTAGTGAGAAAGAATTCTTTTACCTCATGCGTTGAATAATTATAAAGAGATAAACATTCTGTACTCAGTGATATAACAAACCATTGCATTGAAGCACCCAGTAAGATAATTTCATAAAATAAAGTTCTTGTCAACAGCATATCTTAAGTCACGGATCCAGCAAGAACAAAGTAGCTTGCTGCGCTTAGAATTTCTCATAGTTCTATAGTTGCAAAAATAGCAGTCCAGTTAAATTGTAAAATATAAATGTTAGCTATGACAAAACAAAAATTGCTCAATCCAGAGAACACTTTGTCTTACATAAAAACGTTGTATTTAGAATAATAAATTATAAAGCTACCCATGACTAGATCCAAATTACAGATTATAGTTTATACCCTGGTTCAAGTGGGAAGCACACTGGATGAAGAGCTTTAGAATGGATTCTGGTAGCACACATATTATTTATTGGGCTCTAATACATTTCTGGTCATCAAGTTCCTTCTGTGCAGGAAGGGTTGGAGGTTTTGGTGTTTTCTCGCCCCTGTGTTAGAGCATTGCCGTGTGTTCTTCACAGTGACTCAGGGTAGCACGCAGTTTCTCTGCGCAGGTCATAGCAGATGATGTACTTTCTGATGCTGTCCCTCCTCTGCTTCTTTGTGTCCCATTCTCGATTCATTCATGTCCTTAAATCTGTTTTCCCTGGAACATATGGGAAACACTGGACTATAGAGAAATGTCCTATAAAGGCTTTTATGTGCTTGTCTGGAAAATATAAGATTTGACAGTAAGATCAAGTGAAACAAAACACCCCATCAAATCAACGAAGTTAATGAACAACTCAGAGGCTTGCCTGAAACCAAAGAAGACGAACTGAAGGAAATCTTCGATGCTGATGAGTTCACAACGCATGGCTTCAGTGTTTAGAACTCCATCCAAAAGGAACAGGCAGTGATAAAATGATAGTAGAGAGATAGCAGCAAAGATGAAAAGATGACAAGAAATGAAACGTATGAGAAACATCAAGTCTTTACTTTTGGTGCAATGATACTAGTTTATAGTTTGTGGTTTATAAACAAGACATTGTTATCATTTTATACTCCAATATTTGGGAGTTAGATATGTATTACATTGGATGGTAGTAACAAGGTTATCAGGGCTGCATTCCTTTGTGTAACCTTCAGTAGACAATCTTGGTGCCACCCATATGCCTGTCTGACCCTCTTCTTTTATCTACCAAGGCAGCAGTGGTGCACATGTCGCCTGGTCCTTATTCCATTATGTGGCTGTGTCTGTGTATTATGGATGAGTTTCTCTTTGCAGCTGTCAAAATGACACTGTTCTGAAGACGCATGTGCATGTTTCATACAGAGATGCTATTATTTCTCTTGAGTGTGCACTTAGGAACAGACATGTTGGTCATATGCAATTCTATTTTTGGGTTTTTGAGAACAGTTTCAAAAGGTGGACACTTAAAAGAAATCCAACACTAGCTCATAACTGAGTATAATAGAGTATTATTTATTTAGGGGTAGACTCACAGATCACAGTTCAGAGGAGAGGCCGGACATGTGCTTTACACTGGCATATAGTATAAGAGGCCACACCCAAGTGGGTGGGTAACTTAAAGGCTACTGGCTATAGGAATTCCTACAGCATCCCTGTTTGTTTAAATAAGAAAGTTTTAAATCTAATACAAACTTATATACAATAAGAACAAATTTCAGGTATAAAATTTAGAATTACAACAGCATAAACAATATCAAGCAAGAAACATGTGATAAATGTTTTAATAATTATCCTGTCCTAATGAATTTAAGTATTGTATAATAAATAACTTGGCTAAGTCATGAGAGAAAGTAACTACAATTATCTAGTCTTTAACCCTATCAAAGTCCTGAGAAGGGAAATAATATTACTTGAATAAGCATGAAGTACAATCAAGCAACTTCCAAAATGTACAAAAATGACAGAGACAACTGGCTACTAACTTTGGCTAAGGCCTAGAGTAACTGACAGACTATTTTTAGAGGCAGGAAATTTTTTGAAACCATATTACCCTGTCTTGGCAAGATTTGACAGTCTTTTTTTTTTTTCCTGCTTGTCTTGTCTGAACATTGTGCATTTTATCAGTGGTCGATGCATGGGCAGTTCCTTGCTCAAAGCCCAGTTTTGCCAAGAAGAAAACAAGCTCCAAGGGGAGTGTCTTTGGTGCTCAACATTCTCTCAGGAATAGATCATTGCTGCCAAGAGAAGTCGTATCTCACGTCAACAGAACCCTAAGTTATTTAAATGTCATATTTTACAACTCTTTGAAGTGGTTGAAGATTACCTATCTGTGCAGACTGATTTCTAATGCATGAGCTCACCCCTTTACTTTCCTAACCAATGCATGAGGGTTCTACTCTCCCTTCACTCTTGTCCTCTTCTGCTGTCAATGTTTATCATTTGGTATAGTCAGCTATGCTGAGGTGAAAGGGATGTGCAATTGTTCTGAATTTCTATAATAAATAATGATGTTGAAGGTTTTTTTGTGCTTGTTGACAATTTGATAAACCTCTGGAAAAATGTCATTTCAAATATTTGATCACTGGAAGATTGGATTAATAATTTTTTGAATTGCTAAATAGCAAGAATTCTTCATATAGTCTAAGTATGAAACTTTTATCCAATAACCGATTTGTAAATGTTTTTTGCATTATGTAGATAACCTTTGTACTGTTTTTTGAAGTATATAATATTTTAGTTATAGTTGTTTTTTGTTTACTCTGGTTTTATTCTCTAAGAAACTATTATATAGCTCAACATAATGAAGTTTATCTCAGATGTTTTTTCAAGTATATTCTAATACTAGCCCTTTCCTTTAGGGATATGATTTTTGTTGTTGTTGTCTTTATTCTGTGGTTTGAGATAAGCAGCAAACTTTATTCTGTAAGCGCACTGTCTATTTAGAGCCATTCTGTCAAGGTGTAACTCTTGACTTGAATTTGTATCTGTAATTATAAAAGGCCTTCGGGCTGGATTGATGGCTCAGCAGGTAAGAGGGCTTGCAGCCTTTGCAGAGTACTGCAGATCAGTCCTCAGCTCCCATACTGGGGTTAACGGTACCAGATTCACAGGCAGCCTGGGGCTCTCTCACTCACATGCGTGTGCTCGTCTGCATGCATACTTGTCTGTGTGTGCGCACACGCACACACCCACCCAGTCCTACACACACAATTTAACAGAGTAAACTTTAAAAAATTATAAGGTATTTATATTGATATATGGAAGCTAAACATTTATGTTCTCAAATATATTGTTTTTAGTTTTCAGTTAGTATTACTAGAAAGCAGTTTGGAGTCATAGAAATTTGATTCTCATGTATACAAGAGTAATTTCAGTGTAATCTAGAGAAAAACTCGGAGTTTGATGCAATATGTATGTATACATATATATTCAATGAACATGTATATAACTGAAAAATAAATTACATATATTAGCTATTTTCCATTGTTACTGTTAGTAAGTGTTTAGGAACTAATATTCAGTTTAAAGCATATGATTAAGTACTATAGTTTTATGAGTTAATGATAATCAAATTGAAATAGATAAAAGCAATATGAAATTAATCTTTTACAGGCATGCATGGGTCTAGTGGTTCTCAACCTGTGGGCGTCTGCTTCTCTGATGGTCACACACTAGAAATCCCAAATATCAGATGCTTACATTGTGATTCGTAACAGCAGTGAAATTACAGTTATGAAGTAGCAACAAAATAATTTTACGGTTGGGGTCACCACAACATGAGGAACTGTATTAAAGTGTTGCAGTGTTAGGAAGATTGGAAACCACTGCTCGAGAACCTCAGCAGAATATCTCCCACGGTTTCTCAGATGACCTTTGCACTATACTAGGTCAAGTAGATTCTGTGATGATTTTCTATAATAGACCGTCTCCCAGCCATTGTTACAGGATTGTGTCTTATGAAGGTGCATTGTTTTCCAAATTCCCTGGGGAAGTTAAAACTGTTTTAAGTTGAATAGATAACAGAGAACCAGGAATCAAAGAGTGAAACAAAAAGAACCGTAGGAAACTCCAGCCGCTCTCATCTTTTCTGATACATTTTAATTTTTGAGCTCTCTTTTGGTCATGTGTGTGTATGTGTTCACATGGTCGTCATGGTTTGTGTGTGTGAGTGCATCTGAGACCCAGGGCTAATGTCAGGTGTGTTCCTCAATTATCTCCACATTATCTAACGAGCTAGGGTTGGGCCCTGGAGCCCAGAGCTTACCCATTTGTCTCACCCAGCTGGCCAGCTTGCTTCTGGGATGTCCCCTCTCTGCTCCCCCAGCATGGAGATTTCCCGCAGGCCCCATGCTTCCTGGCATATTCCCTATCCTGGAAACCTGAACTCTGCTCCTTACATAGGCACAGCAAGTTCTTTACCAACTGAGCTCTCCCTCCAGCCCCTTCAACTTGTCTTGTTTTTAGTCAACTATGTAACTGGAAACCGTTCACTTAATTGTCCGTATATTCTCATTTTAATTTACAGTAAGAAAAGTCAGCCGAGAGTGTAATTTTTGGTGACTGGAGTTGAATTTGCCAGGAAAGCAGTGCAGCGTCGGAGGCCTTGCTTCGGGAAACATCTCTTTTCTGGCCGCTGTCCAGAGTTTAGACTTGGCAGCATCAAGGACACAGTATAAGGTGTGTTTTCTTGACTGAATGGTAGAAAAAGGTGTTTTGATTTGTGGCTTGTTTCCTTTTACTTTGTTTTTCTTGGTTTGAATTTTTGCTTCTGGCACTGAACATGGCTTATGAACATGACTTTTTGTTAGAGAGGGCACAATTATAATGAGAAAATGTTTTACATGTTTTTATGTTGTGTAATTTAAACGTATTTAAGTAAATCAAGATTCATAAGCTGTGGATTTTTATCTAACTTATTTTAAAAAATAGTACTGTACTATTGTGCACTGACTTATTACCACATTTAGCATGTAGTCTCTTGATACTTGGTACATTATTATACTTTAGCAGCTTGTAATATTTTGGTAATTACTTATTGGTTTTAATCAATGTTGCAATTTATTAATTAGTGAACATAAAATTAGCTATACCACATAACGCTTACTGTTCCTTACTTCACTGACACATTGCTCCAAAGGCGGTGTAGAGAGGAACCCCAGCGTGAGTCGTCCTCTTACGCTGGCCCACACCCTTCCTTCCTCAGCCCCAAGTCAGAGGCTCTGCAGTTCTTCAGGCTGAAACCCGAGACCCTGAAATCCGCAAGTCTTTCTTTATAAAACCTATTCCCTTGTTTCCTTTCTAATTCCATCTCTGTTCTGAGACCCATTTATTTGCTCCAGCCCCCCCCCCCCCCCCCCATTTCAGCAAACTTGAACTTGCTGTTCTGTTTCTTTAGCACTGATTAGAATGCCGCCATCTATTTGTATTAAAAGGTCCCTTTCTGGCTAGAAACCCTGCCATCAACCTATTGTTCTCTGTCCTGTAGTTTTAATCAGTATTTAATAAGTCCCATATTTTATACTTACCTGGCTTTTTATGGTTGTCACCATCAAGAATGTAAGACATAATTGGGGTTTACTGTGAAACGTGCCACAAACCCTCCTGTGTTTGAACACTTGGTGCTTTGTGGGGAGGCTGTAGAATCTTTGGGAATTGAGGTTTAATGGAGGAAGTAACTCAGTGGGCCATAGGGTGTGCAGGTTGGCCATGCTCCCTGCCCTGTCTATCCTTCATGATCCATCATGTTCCTGTCCTGCTGCCAGCTGCACAGTGACGTGCACCTCCCACCATGTCTGCAGGGTTATGGGGGCCTGTGTCCTTAATACTGAGCCAAGATAAACCCTTCCTACTGTAGGTCTTTTCTTGTGAGGTTATTTGGTGGCAGGAAGAAAAGTAAAGAATGCAGTATGTGATGTCTCTGTACTCAGTCTCCGCTGACTAGTGTTTGGTTACTAATAACTGAGTGATGAGGGAATTCATAATCATCTGTAAAGCACATACTATGAGTTAAACACTGCTAGATCGTGATGAAACCAAATGCTGTACACAGTTCTTGTCTTGATAAATACAGTTTAATAAAGAAAACATAATTACAGCAGCTATTTTTTTATTTTTTACCATGGTGTGTTATAAAGACATGCAGCAAAATGCTGTATTGACCTGAATCAGAGTATGGTGTATTCAAAAATGCTTCCTGGATAAATGATTAACAGTTAGGGTAGCCTTGGATATTAATATATTCATATATTCATGTACACAAACCCATATGTCAGTGTCTTGAGACCCTAAAAGTTTATGCAGTATCCTAAAATAGGTTAGTGGGAAAGCTTAAGTACCCCAGCACCTGAGCAGACCCCCATGATCACCACAACCCCTGAGCAAACCCCGCATGATCACCACAGCAGTGAGAGAGAAGACCATCTCCATGATCACCTCAACACCTGAGCATACACCCCACGATCACCTGAACACCTGAGCATACCCCCCACAATCACCACAGCAGTGAGAGAGAAGACCATCTCCATGATCACCTCAACACCTGAGCATAACCCCCATGATCACCTCAGTGAGAGAGAAGACCATCTCCATGAGAACTGAGTTTAGACTTTTACTGGTAGAAGCAAATGGTTTACTGCCAGATGAGCCTGCTGAACACTGCCTTCTATCAGGAGACAGGATGTAGAGGAACTGAATCAGGTTATTAGCTGCCTACCTTTCTGCCATTTTTTGTGGGGTTTGTGTGAATTGTGTGTCTGTGGCAGGGCAAATGTGCCAGAGAAGGGCCTGGAAGTCAGGACTGTCGTCTTCTATGTGTGTCCTGGGGACATGCCAGGCCGTCAGGCATGATAGCAATGTGTGTCTCTGTAGTAATTAGAGCCACGGGGCTGCATCCCCAGCACCCCTGCTGCCTGCTCGGCTAGCTTATGCCCCGAAATAATTACACGGACACTGTATTCTTTTAAACACTGCTTGGCCCTTTAGCTCTAGCCCTTACAGGCTAATTCTCACATCCCGATCAACCCATCTCTAATAATCTGTGAGCACCGGTCTTACCGGGAAAGATTCAGCATGTCTAACCTGGCAGCTTGCTTCATCGCTGCTTCATCGCGTGCGTCTGCCTGGGAGCTGGTTGTGTGGCGTCTCTCTCATGCGTCTGCTCCCGAGAGGAGAGCAGTTGAGTCTGAGCTCACTTCCTCTTCCTCCCAGCGTTCTGTTCTGTTTACTCCTCCCACCTATCTTCTAACCAATAAAATGGGCCAAGGCAGTTCCTTTATTAGCCAATTACCTTCCTCCATCATGTCTCCACTAAGCTACCCCACTGGCTCCTCTTTTCTCCTGTTTTGATGGGAGAACATTAGATTAGTAGGTAAAGACATATTTAAAGACCTAAAAAACCTATTCCAAGAAGGACATGAACACAAATAATCAGTTTTGTAAGTTGATAAATTCAGAGCTACATGCAGCTCAAAATAGATGGAGCACGTTTTACGTGTGTGTGTGTGTGTGTGTGTGTGTGTGTGTGTGTGTGCATGCCTGTGTGTGGACTGGTGGGAGTTTAAAAGGTAAAAAAAAAAAAAAAAAAAAAAAGATTGACAAGAGAAGAAAAACCAGACTGTACTTACAGACAAAGGGAAACATTGAACTATAACACTATAACCCCAGGGATCTTGACTAAGTTTAAGCATCCAGAGCTTACTCTAGAAGTGCCACGAAGATGGATTTGAGGGAAGGGAGCCCGAGTTAGGAAAACAATTAGCATATGAATTTAGTGAGCAAATGAGGTCACAGGTTGGATATCTGTAGCAAAGGAAGAAAGGAGGGGACAGAATTGGAAAGGCTGAGACTGTGGGGACATCTGAGCACAGAAGATGCCTTGGTGGAGGGCAGGGTGCTCTTTGCTTTGCTACCCAAACAGAGGCACCATTGCAGACACACTGTTTCTGAGGCTGTGTCTGAACTGGCATATGTGGGAAAGAATGACTTACGGTAGGCGTGCAACGTGAGCGATTACTACTTGGTGTTCTATGTGTGTTCCTTTTACCAGGGGGATAAGCCCATGTGTCCAGACTAGACTCAAGGTGGCCTGGGGATTTGGAGGCACGGGAGTGGAGTAACTGTGGAGTGAAATGGAACCAACAGAATAGAGGCACGGAATTGCAGCCCAGCATTTGGCATTTATGAAACCGGATTGCATGTTGACTGCAGAATTGTCTTGAAGAGATCGTTGTTCTTTACATTGTTATGAATTCAGCAAAATTTGAAAACAGATTTCTTAAAAGAATTTGGTTTGGTTTTTGTGAGAATGACTCATGCGATAGAATCCAGCTCATAGACAAGAATCTTGAGTAATTAATAATAAAGCATCTTAGTAGAAGAAAATTTTCAGAAACTTAAGTAATTATCTAGTACTTTCCAGAAGAATTTTCTATGTGAGACTTTTCTTATAAGATGTCTTTGTGGTCAGTTTTAGGAATGCAACCAAGTAGAGAGAACGATACAGAGGTTGCCCACGTTTTTCCTGTCCTAACACATATGCAGCCTCATCTGTGATCCCCATGACACAGCAGAGTGGTGGGGTTCTAGCCCACGGAGTGCACAGTAGTCCATCCTCACCCCAAGTTCACAGCTCTGGCGACCTCACTGTTGGTGCCTTGAATTCTATGGGTTTTAACCTCTATGTCCCTTTGTCTCTATTTGAACAGACATATGTCCACCAGAATAGATTTGCTGCTGGGAAGTCTGCATCCACATCTCTCCTAGGGTTTACAACTCCTAGACACCTCCTTTCCTTCTGTTGTCTCCATAATTTTGCTTTTCCTGATGAATATCATATAGCTGGAGTAGCGCAATGTAGAACACTGAAAAAAAGATGTGTATTTGCTCTTTCTGTTTCTACTTCTGAGTACTCTTTATTCTCTTCCTTAGCTCATGTATTGGCAGACAGATTGTTTTGTGTTTTTAATTTTTGGTGTTATTTATATATTCTATATTTAAGACCTCTCTGAAGTATAGCTCGAAGGGATTTTCATTCATCCTATAGGCTGTCTGTCTGTACTGCTGCTAGTTTCTTTGCTGTACAGCTTTTTAGTTTCAAAGTAAGCCTTAGGATTATTTGCTGTATAATTGAAGTCATCTTAAAGAAAGTTTGTCCTACCTCTGTATCTTGGAATGTTTTCCTCCAGAAGTTTTAGGGCTTAGTGTCCTATACTGAGATCTTTGATCCACTCGAAATTTATGTTTGTGAAGGTTTAGAAATAAGTATCTAATGTCTCCTGCATTTGTATATGTCCAGTTTTCCTAGTTTCATTTATTGACAAGGCTGTCTTTTGTCCTAATGTATATTTTTGATGTATTTGTCAAGAATTGCTTTGAGAGTTAGTTTCATTCCTTTTAGAATGACTATTATCAGTGAAATGACATATGCTTGTGAGGATGTGGTGTCAGAGGAATCTTATACACTGTTGGGGTGAGTGTAAATGAGTACACACACTGTGGAAATCAATGTGACCCAGCTATATGCCTCCTGTGTACATACTCAAAAGACTGTCAGTCCTACCATAGAGACCCTTGGACATCTGTGTTGACTGCTCACATATTTATATTAGCTAGTAGAACCAATGTATACGTCTATTAACAGATATGGCAGATCTACGCAATGTGGTTTTATTCATGTATAT